TTGACTCATTATCGTCATGTAACTTTTTTTCGGAAACGTTTTGGAGAGAAAAGTATCCTTATCAACCCTCGTCCTTGTAATACTAAATAATCTTGTATGTTCTACTTCAATAACATAACATGATATAAAAGTAGATTTCAATAATATCATTACGATTTGCATTTACAAAGATAGTCTGATACATGTTTCGTCTAATAAATTGGCTTATACATAAAATATGAAGAGTTTTGGACTAGCAAGAAAGAACTTTATCAGGATCGCGTTTTTTAAAGACAAGCAGAAACAGACTATGCTTGAAAGAATCTTCTCTTGCATCAGACCAGCATTTTATCGTAACCAGCTGTGTTAGAGAATTTGATCATAAAACATATCTCGATTTATCTTTTTCTTGCTTTTCTGTTTGTTTATCTAGATATTATTCATCTTGAACAGCAACAATATTAGATTTTTTTTATGTTTGAATTTTTTTCTTCCAATGTTATATAGCGGATGATCAGAAAGTTTTTAGACAACATGTTTATTTACTTTTGATGCCCTAGAAAATTTTCTGATGAGTCAAAAAAAGTATGCTTCTATGCTTTTTTCGAATATAGGCTTACAAATTTTGACTCAACTTTTGTTCGAGAGTAGTGACGTAATCTTGACGAGGTCCAAAAGATTTGTTTGGATGGAAAACATTTGTATTTTATCTATTGCGATACGAAACTAAAGTTAGGATCTTTATTTACATAGTAGCTTGTAGATGAGAAGCTATCCTACAAAATGTACTATTCGAAGTTTTTTTCTTTCGACCACGCATCTCTACTTTTGTTTTTTCTAAATATTCATTTTTGAAGATGCAACAATCGTTTTACGTTGAAAACAGCTCTTGAAATAATATTTGAGTAATAGCTATAGCTGAGTTCAATATCACATTTTGTAGAGAAGTGTTCGCTCTACAAAATGATTGACTTTGACAAATTTTAGCTTATTCGAAAGGGAACTTATAGGGTAAACAAACTGTTGGATCACTATGTTCAGGTCTTTCGAAAAGTTCCTCGCTACTCTTGAATTCAATTTCTAGTCGCGATCTATAGGTTTCAGCTCGTCTGAAATGCTTTCAAGCAGGCCAAAATGAATGAACATGTTCAAACGTAAACGTCGACCAATAAGTTGCATCCAAACTAAATTTTTGAGCTGTTCGAAGATTGTTTTATTATTCTCGAACAAAAACTGAGGCAAAATTAAATTGAATTAAGATAGGAATGGCCACTGTATACTATTCTGTTTGTTTGTCCACTAACAATAGCGTCGCATTTCGTCTTGCTTCATTGAATGTTATATGACTTTTTTCCTTTCATTTAGTGTTTAGTTAGCAAAAATGGATCTACTGAACATAATAATTATTCATCAACAGATATTATCAGCAGCTTTTAGAATATCGTAGCTCAATCAATAATTGATCAATCTTATCCGTTGATCGAACTCTGCAAACAATTATCATTAATGCATCTATTGTGTAGAATTATTATTTTTTGTTAACGTTAACTAAATTTTATTGATTTTATCAAGTGATAATTGATTTGGAATTCAATATATGTAGGTATGTATTCACAACAGTCACTCCATCAAAAGCAACTATTTATTTTAGTTTATCAAAAAGTTTATTGATTCATGTAAGACTATTCAATTTTATGGCTTAAAGTAAAAGAAGTGCATCATAACATTTCCAATGACGATTCAAACAATTGATTATATTCGTTGAAGAAAGTTGACGAAAGATTTCATCAAAGTAAACTTAGCTACATTGAGTAGATACATCAACAATTCTAATATCTTCTTTTAAAGTACAACTCATTGAAATACGTTAAGATTTGATATGATAGGTTTTGAATACCAAAGATTATAGAGTACTGTCTAAAATACTAAGAACAAGGTAATTTTGTTTTTTTTCTCAGCAATATGAAGTACTTAACTTAAATCTAAAGAGTGATTTCGATAGCTAATAAAGTTCTCTAAAACCACTATACACTATAGTTTTCAGGTGGCAGAAGACGTTATGGGACTCCATGGTCAACAATCTCATCTGAGCTAGTGCAAGAGTTCTGAACACAATGAGGAATTATCGCATTTTTTACGACTTACTGTTACAGAATTACAGGCATTTCAAAAAAACAAAAAAGAACACATGTTTTTGTTTTTTTGCAGAAGCTAGATACGTTGTAAAGGACGATTGTAAAAAAAAATGAGGCGATCCTTCATTGTGTTTAGAAGTTTATCCTTTTTCAATTATGACATTTGAATACAAACTGCCATTATGTCTTCTAAGACCTGAAAACTTTCTCAAATATCTTCTTCGAGTTTTAATGATTTTTTGCCTCTAGATGCTACATAGTGTCTCGATAAAAATACTAAAAGGATTCGAATTCCTATTGAGATTTGACTAAGTTATTGAATGAATTTTTAATATGTCTATTCTCTAGAGATTCCAGGCTTTTGGAAATTCGTATTTTCAAATTTTGATCTAAAACTTTGCACAGATAGAGAACTGAGTTCGACTAGCTTCCACGAAAAAACTCCGAAATTTTGAACACAGTCTCTTCGAGACATAAGACTTTCAAGATGTAAAGTCTTTTTCATAGATACTATCTGATGGCGGGCAGAAGCTTGAAGCAGTTTCTTTTGGTTTTATTTTTGATAATAATAGCTAGCAAGAATCAGAAAAAACTTTTTGCATAGCTAAAAGGGTTCTCTATTAGGATTGATAGGCTCAAATACTTCAAAAAGTTGCTTGGATTAGAGCTAGCCGAAAAGAAACACCTTCAAAACCAGCCTTTTGGTTTTCATTCGAAGCTTTTGAGAAAATATTTATTTGCGAGCGCTGATAATTCTGAGCAAAATAAGGTATATTGGTTTTCTTCATGATATTCCTTCATTGAACTGCATTCAATTTATAGAAGACTATAAGAATTTTTTCTCCTGTTATTAAAAGTTTCAAGGCTTTTTGTCATGTTTGATGCTTTGGCGTCTTTTGAAAATTAAATGTAGTTCAGAAAAAGAAAATTATGTAGAGCTTGAAGGCTTCTTTTTTTTCTCAGAATTATTTATTCTATCAAATGAAATATTTTCCTAAAAGCTTCAAATGGAAGCCAGAAAGCTGGTCTTGGAGGTCTTAGCTTTTTGTAGACCCTCATCCAAGCAATTTTTTTAAGTCTTCAAGCTAAGCAATCCTAACAAAGAAGCCTTTCAGTTCCACAATTTTTTTTTTTATTCGTGCTAACTATCAGCATCAAGGAGAAAATTACAGAATACAACTGCTCTAAAATTTTGTCTGTCACTATATATGGTGTGCATTTTTTAAAGCTCCATATCTCGGAAAGAGTTTGTTCAAAACTTCTGAATATGTTTAATGAAACCTAGTCCGGTTGATTTTTCTATATGCACAAAGTTTTAGATCAAAATTCGAAAAGCTGAAGTCTCTAGAAACAGATATATTGGAAATTTAATACCATAGTCAAATCTCAATAGAAATCCAATTTTTGTTAAAGATTTTATTAAAATACTATTTAGTATCTATCGACAAAAAAACCATTGACATAGGAAAAGAGGACATCTTAGTAGTTTTCCTCCTTAGTTCAACTATGGAACTTTGATATACAGTGTGCATCTGATAGGAAACTTCATTTTTTTAGTCAAATCACTCTTTAGATGTTAGTTCATATACTTAGCATCAAGAGAAAAAATTCAAAATTACCTTGTATTTAAAATTTTGAACAGTATCGTATTTGTGCAGTAAAGATTATTCTAATACTTTCATACAGAGAAAAACGATATAATTTTAATTACAGAGCAAAAACAAAATGAGATCCAAAAACGAAGTTTCCTTTTTATTTTTCACTTGTTAGTTCGACCAATAGAAAAAAGGCGAAAAGAATAGATGATTGATTGTGTTGTGTTGTGCATAACGACGAAACGTAACCACTGTATTTCGCTTTCTTTTCACATTTATTGACTCAGATAATGACGATGTGGTCGTTGTGCATTTGATTTAAGAGAAAAAATGATTCATTAATGTAAATATATGTTTACCTGATGCAAAATTATCAGCTGTTATTTTCTTTTCTTTTTGTGAATCAACATGTGATCATTTGGAAGTTTTTCATTTCAATGAATTCAATTATATCAATCGTTATTCTCAAATAAGTCTCATTCTTTTATCAATGAAATTATATAATACATTTTGTTTATGTTCTCGTCATAATGAAGTATGTAATTCTGATGATGAATTTCTTTTTCATGAACAAGAATTAAATTGTAATTTAAATAATCATAATATTCAACGTTTACAAGTTAAAGGTGATGGTAATTGTCTTTTTTATGCACTTGCTGAAGGTCTTATCTATGAAATGAAAATGGATCCCGATAGATTTCGTTTACAGTTAGAAGCATTTGGTTTATCATCAGATTTTCGTTTAGTTGATTTTGCCAATCGTTTACGACAAATATGTGTAAATGAATGGAAATTAAATGAACAATTTTATAGTCAATTTGTTGATAGACATAAAGTTTCATTTCATAAAGAAGTTAGAAAATTTTCAAAAAATGGTGTTTCAGATTCTACATTAGGTGATATTGTACCATTGACTATATCAAATACATTTAATATTACAATTATTATATTTACGTCTGTGTCTAATTTATCTCGAATTGAAATAAAACCAGCTAATGGAAATAATGGATTATTACCTCAAAAATCAATCTTTTTAGCTTATAATCAATATGGACTAGGGCACTATGATGCAGCTTATCCTCGTACTTGAGATGAACATGACAGAAAATAGTCTTGTTTATTTTTTTTTCTAATAACACAGAAACAAATGTTCTGCTTGCTTTTTTTGTATATGTTAGTATTTTTTCGTTTTTTAGTTGCCAATAATCGAAAAACGTTTAGTTTATGAATATTGGCACCAAAAAGAACGAATTCTATTGAGAAAAAAGTCAGTAAATCAACAAGGATTTTATCATCGTCGTCGTTTTTGATTTGAAGGCATGAAGGTATATATTTCATCAAAACCCATTTTTTGATCATCATTAACTGAAAATATTTTGAAAGAAAAAAAAACCAAAAGAATTTTGAAATAAAAATAAATGAATCTTTAATAATCATACCATTATGATCATTTTCACTAAATATATAATTGAGATCATTTTCATATGATGATGAAGAAGATGGAAAATTTGGATTAATTATTGTTAGAAGAGATGGCTGCTTTGATTGAGACAATATCGAATCGTATCGTTTACCAAACCTATATACAAGAATAAAATAAACATAAATAAACATAAAATATTACCTTGGTCGAGCAATGATAGCATAATAATTGTGTAATAATTTCCAAAATAGTGTCCACTCGTCAGCTGATGCGTTGGGTGGTGGAAATTGAGGTGGATTAGGAAAACTGGCCGATGAAGTTCGATGAACAGAAATAATGGAAAATACGACAAGACTCATGAATAGTGATAAAAAGAAATTCATTTTTAAACAATGATTCAATAGATTATTTAATATTCTAGAATAAAAATTATTCAATAGAAAATAAACAATTAAACTATTAAAATGAATCGAATTCTATTTTACTTCAACTAAAAGAGAAACACAAAATAGAATATATTTAGATACATACATATTAGAATAATTAAAAGATCTTTAACACATGCAGATTAGGTTTTTTTGTTGTTTATTTTATATATAGGTCGATTATTATACTCGACTAACTACAATTTACATGAATAGTTTGAACTACTGATCCGTTATGCTTTTTGGACAGAAAAAGTTTACGTTTTTTTTTTTTTTTAGTTTATGTGCCCTATATTTAAGAAGAAAATAATTTTTCCTAGGTAAAATAGATGAAATAAACAATAGAAAAAACATTGTATGAAATCTATTTACGTATACTTTCCATGATCATGCTGAGTTCTCCTACAAAATATAAATACTTATTTAGACGAAACGTGTTTCTTGTCTATAAACTTTGCTTTGCTACTCGTCATGGTAGTTTGACTACTTTTAAGCATTCACACGCGCGTCCAATTATATATGTCCGGGCGAGCTACTGGCTACACTAATATATGTAATAATGAATGTGAGTGCATGTTTTATAGTAGGCGACACATGCAAGATCAGGAAATAAGGAAAAAAGATGTTAAAGAAAATTCTATGAGATATATACACATATTAATTGATATTCTGAGCTAGAATAAATTAGATAAAAAAGGATATAATATTTAGTTGGAAAAGAACAGACATATCTTAATAATTTGAAAGTAAAAAAAAACATGTTTAACAACGAGGAATTGTTGCCTTCTAATTGTCGGTTATATACTCACGTAGACATAGAAGATGTTTTCTTTTTGTTATATGACAAACATCTATTTAGAATGAAAGAATAATGATTCGTGTAGTCGTTTGGAAAATCAATCTTTCTGAAAATACCGCCTTTGATGTTGAAGGATGAGACAAAAGAAAAGATAATAAATAAACAAACAAACTATAAATTTAGTTGATGATACCTGGTAGAAAAAAGAACTGAAAAGTAGAATAAGACCTCACTAAAAGCAAGAGAAAAAGCAAAAAAAAAATTGTAATAATGATCGATGATTATCATTCATCAACCAGAAAAAAAAAGAAGAAAGAGTTAAAAAGACTTTTCATGTATTCAATATTATAACATAAAGTGTTTATTCATCTACAGTTGTTGAACATAACCAGAATAATATAGAATATGAAAATCTAAAAAACTAAAAGAAATATATTATTTATCTGTTCCACCTCTGATAAATAAATTAGACTAGCTATAGTATATATAGTGCAAGATATAATAGAAGCATAGAATTTTTTAGATATCAAAATATTATCTTTTTTAAATAATAATGAAAATGCCGAAGAGTATATTTTTATTTAAAAAAAAAAAGGAAATATACTGGAAAATTTTAAAAAGAATCGTTTTAGGATAAAACTCTGCAGCTCATTTTTTCTTAGCTATAAGTTTATTAAAGAAAAGACAGTGCATTCGAAAAAATTGAGCGTCCTTATATATTTTGATAATAACAAGACTAAGTTCTTCATGAAAAAAACAGTGTTTTTGACACGCTTATTGTTGCTTTTAATGCGACGTTGACCTCTCTCTCTCTGTCTCTCTATCTATCTGTTTCATTTCTTTTATCAAAAGCCTTGATGCAGCGTACGGAAAAGAATGGATAAAACCTCTTTGCTAAAGATATCTACGCTCATTAAAACTCATCATTTTTAGAGCAATTGAACTAAAGCATAATGTTCATTGATGATGAATAAAATATTAAAACGTGAAAATTTAATTATATGGAATGTTTTATTCACGCAATTCATCGAGGGATGCATCTTATTTCTGTGAGATTATTAGAAAAAACTCTATAAACGAATATTTGCACTGAATGAATTATTCTAATAAAAATTTAAATAAGAACAAGTAGTAATGACTAGTTCAGTAGGTTGATGATATTCTTGTCGTCTAATAATTTCATTTTTAACTCATGTAATAAGGAGCAACAAAATTTCGACCTTGTTCTATTCTAATAGTGATACTATTATTATTTAATTATATTTCAATTATCATCATTATTTCATTTTTTTTTTTAGTTTCCAACTAGATTGTTGTGACAGGAAATGAGTTGATATACTTGATTATAATATTCACATACAACAAAATGAGACCAAAAGCCCAATGGATGATGAATACAGGATGTATTCGGTTCAAGTCATCGTATATTTGAAAACAATAGTATTTGAAATTAGATTTATAAGAATATATATATTACTTCGTCTGCATGCTCAGTTAATTTCCTAAATGTGCTTAAATGATTTCATACAAGTTCTTTTTATAGAAAAGATAATTTGAAATATAATTTTGCACATATATTTTTATTTTACTCAATTATAGACTAGATACTTCAAATTTCATGATATCTACAGTTGAATATTGAGTATAATTGTTATCTTTTGTCAATGAATGTTTTATCTTATACGAATAATATGATTTGAATATTATGTTGAATAATCACGAGAGAATAACACGGATTATTAAACCATGTATCTACGTCAAATTTTTACAGTTTAAACATTGACTGGTACTCACAACTTTTACACATATTCTTTTAATTACTAAATTACTAATGAAATGAAGCTAAGAAGATATTTTGAGCTATTAGCATTTAATCAACCACAATTGTTAACAAAATTCTTTTGTATTAAATAGTTATCATTGTTATACATAAATATAGAAATTCTTTTTAATAAATATTTTACTAAATTAAATTTATTTTATTTATAAAATGGTATTAGCATAAGTTGAGTTGACAAAAAACTTCATATGAAATAATCGATACTTATTCTATAATGCGAATATCAAGCTTCAATTGTCTTTTTTTTCAAAAGAAATTTTTTCTTTGTGTTGTGTGCTTTTTTTTAATATTCAATTGTAATTCTATTTAGATAATAGCAGTGGATAATTGAATTAGTTGGTCAAGATTTTGTACTGATTTATTAAGAAATGCAAAGAAATATATATATATATATATATACATTGAATTATTATTCACTATTCTTGTGCATATATTTCAATTCAAGCAGAAATTGTTTCCAATTAAAGAAAGACACTTAAAATTATTTCTACCAGAAAGTCTCTTGTTGATTGAAAAAGAATAGTCAAGAAGATCTAATTAAGTCTTTTCCGTTCCTTCTTATCAAGGTGAAAAAAATGAATACACCCTTTCTTCTGAAAAAGAAAACCTATTCTTTCTAGGAAGTCTGCTTAGGATGAGTGTCTTCTTAAGTCTATTAGACTACTGCTTCTCAAATTAGAAATGGTTGAAAGAATTTCTTTTTTTCGTAAATAATTCACTTATTCTAACGTAAGTAGATGTAAGTAACTTCTGTTATTGTTTTGAGATAGTAAATCTAATTAACTTGGTTAAGAATGAACAATGTCTTATGCAAATAATACAATATCACTCTATTGAAGGATATTGTTCAGCCATTGTAATTAATCGGTGATAATTTAATGCATACCCGATAGACATTCCTCTAGTGGCGGCGCCAGGAAGTTTTCTTTGAGTAGGCTTAGCTCCTCCTTTCTTTTCTGCAACATTATTAAAAATAATGCAAAATTTTCTTCATCAAAGTATTCTTGCAGAAAAACTAAGCAAATAATTATTGATAGTGACGACAAGATTGATTCATTGATGTCACAGCTACTATTCGTTTAGCTACATGTCAGTTCCCTCGTCATGTGCGATACTAGCAGCGATGTCAGTTAACTAAGTTGTCATGTCAACATATTTGAAAACAGTATTACATTGAGCTCGACATGGTTTTCATTTCGAAAATTTGTACAAGAGTCATTTCAAATAAAAATCGCATTTGCAAAAAGTTATATTTTGATTAGATATCGCTATTTTGATGTTGTCGAGAACATTACTGAATCTTAAAACACACGAAAACTATTTTTCATAACGGCTTTGAAAGCACCAAGTGTACTTTTCAATCCATGAATACTTGAAATACGTAATAAATTTTTAAACACAAATTTCTTTTGTATGATACATTCGTCTCAGCTGTTTAACATCGTTTCTCTCACAAGTAAATACTGTATAAAACTTTTCACATTTTGATCAAGAAACATGTCAAACGCATACAAAAGTTTAAATAAGTTTGTGTTGAACTTCAACATTTTTTGAATGAGTTTAGCTCACTTCTAGCGTCGTCGCTATTTTCTTTTGATCAATATTCTATCACAACATGCCGACAGTAGTTCTCTAATTGACAACCTATTGCGGGTATATCTTTAATTCTTCGGAGTACCGTGATATAACAGTCATAGTACCAACAAATGCACTTGATGGATAGTAAATTATATGAATATATATAGGATATAATTAAGATTTTTTTTGTTTATTGCAAATCTTTCGAAAACTTCATTAAACTTTTCGATGGTGTGAAAATGAATTATTATTAAAAAAAACCTGTATCGTGGATTCAAACTTTAGAAAAAAAAGTTGTTGAATGAAAAATTTCTGAAAATGACAAACACATGGAAAAGTAATGTACCACATATTTTCATAGCTAAGAAAATAACACTTACTATTCTGAAAATTATGGATGATTCTAATGATCTACAAAAATTATTGTATAAAAAATTAAAATCTCTACTAATCTTATCATAAAATAATATGATTCAGTTGTCTCATTGTCAGATCGAGTCTTATATTATTTAAATCCAGTCTTATTTCAACAATATCAAGTACCAGATTGTATCTAGATATTTTGCAATATTATGAGAAGCATAGCATTGACATTTCAGACATATTTATCTTTAATAATATGTCATTTTACAGATTGTTTTTCAACGTATCTATCGTAGAAACGTTTGATATGATATGTCAAATATAACTTACAAGTGCATTCCAAATATTTAATCTAAATAAGGAAATAAAGTGTCCAGTGAACTATTATATAAATCAACAAAAAACATTACTTCCATCTTCTATTCTCATTTCTGAGCATTCATGAATTTTATATTCTATATTGATTCTATTATTCTTCAAAAAAGATAACCAGTAGTTATTTTTTTTTTTTTCGTTAGGCGAATGATAATAAAACCTTCAGTAGACAAAGACACGAGTAAATCATACAAGCATGCTATACAAAGTTGAAAGACAATCAACAAAAAAACAAAATCCTCCTGTCAAATGTTTTTTTTGTTGGCAGGTATAATCAAATACATTATTTTAAATTATAGAAACCAATTTTTTTTCTTAGACTAAAAATAGAATATAACGCATTGTCATCACCGGGTCGTGATCGCAAATAAAAACCGAAATAACTATTCTATTTCTTGATTTGATCCAGTTGTAGGTGGTACCGATGTTGTTGTGTTATTTTCGGATTTAGTTGGACGTATTACAATATAATAAAGTAAATCAGATAATGAAAGTATACCAATAACATGTTCATCATTGTCAACAATAACTAAACGATGTACCTCAGCTTTAACAATACGTTCCATACATGTTGATAATAATTCATTTTTATAACATTTTGAAACAGCTTCAAAACGTTCTTTTCGATATGATAATGCTTCATTTATTGTCATATTTAAATTTCGATAACTTTTATCTGGTGCTAAACCCTGAAGATTATTCAGTTAAAAAAAAGACACAAATTAAAATCATAAAGAAAAATATAATTTCATATTTGAAACTTACAATAACATCAAATTTCGAATAAATATTGACTAATTTCCTATTTTTATCAACAACAGGTAATGCTGATACACGATATTTCACAAAATAATTTAAGGCTTCAATTACTGTTGTAGTTTCTTCAATCTAAAATCTACAGTAAAGAACAAGAACACCGATTATTTAGATAAAACATACTATAAGTAAATTGTCATAAGTTCCGATTTTTAATTCTTCTAATGTTTTAGACATAAATGATGGTTGTGGCCAATCATAAATCTATAACACATTAATATTTTTATCACATTCTGTATGAAAAAATCTACTTACGTATAAATAAAAAAACCTTAGTATTCGTTTATGGGTTAGAATAAATATAACATTATTTGTTGTCGAATCAATAATAGGTAATCGATGAACACGATTTTCTAATAAAACACGTACAGCGTCAAATAAACTAAAAGAAAAAATAATAAAAATTTCTGTTTTTTTTTTTGTCTTTAAAATAATCTTTTTTTTACCTTTGATTTGGTCTAATATATAGCAAAGGTTTTTCATATTCTCGTAAAACCTCTCTCCATGTTTCAATTCTGTGTTCTTCTAATTCTTCAATTTTAGCATGTGGCTCTTTATAATATTTTTGCAGTATAAGAATAAAATCTGTTATTGTTAATAAGCCAATAAATTTTTGTCGTTTTGTATCCCACAATGGTGCTGCACGTACACCGTTATAAACAAGAGCAAAAAAAGCTTTTTTTACAGCTAATTGAGTATCGAATATAACTAGTTTAGAACTTTTCGGCATTATATCATAACATGTATTAAATTTCATAAAATGTGTATAAATTTCGTCATCACTTACTAATAAAAAAAAAGAAAAGAAAAGAATACAAAATAGATTAATGAAAATTCTTACTAAATGCTTCATCAGAATCATGAGTAGGTGAAACAGACTAGAAAGAAACATGAAAATCAAATTAAATGTATAAAATATTTTTTGTTTATTAAGACGAACCGATGGACGAATACAATATGTTGGTGGTCGATCTGATGATGAACTATTTCGAGTAATTATTGTTTGACCAGAAAATGTTTTAACTCGAGTTGTACCACTCATTGAAGTTGGACTTTGTGTTCCTACGAGTACATAGGTACTATAAATATTTCTGTTATTTATTATTTAACCTTACCATTTCTGTTAGGATCTTGAAAAAGCGACTAAAATTGAAAAATAAACATAAATCTTTTATATAAATAAAAAAACAATTCAAACAAAAGAAAGCAAGCACCATAAGAATAAAAAGAGCAAGCAAGCAAGCAAGCTAGCGGTATTTTTCTCATCGTCGAACATCTTTTCCTGTTATTCTTACTAATGCTGATGCATCTTTGAATCTATGTCAGCTATCTGTGAATGTAATAAACCTCCAAAAAGCACATGAGAGACATTGAACAGAAGGATAGAGAGAGCAAAAAAATAACGATGAAGAACAAAAAAAACATTTCATGCTAAAAAACAGATATGGTGAATATTAAATATATAGCAGATGACGTACCATCAAATTGTTTGCTCCAGAAACAGCTCCTTTTTTATTTTGTTGCTGAAGTAGACCGAGTGCTGCTTGTCTTCGAAGATCATCATTACCTTTTGTCAAATATTTATGATAAGAAATTGAAAAACCCGTCGGTGCCGATGACATTGATGCATAATATTGTGAATCTGATGTAGGTAATGCCATAGAATTTGGAGCAGCAGTTGATTTTTTTCCAGAACTACTATTTTTTCTGCTTCCAGTTAGAGTTGTACTGGAACTAAGGTTAGTATTGATAACATCATCTTTTTCATCGAGATAATCCGTATCTGACAAGGAACCAGCAGACATATTTGGATCATCATCATCAAATTCTTCTTCTTCATCGATTGTTGATCGTGGATTATCTTTAGCTAACGATGATTGATTAATAAGATTTTGTCGTTTTTTATTTATATCTAAATCAATTGATTTTGTTGTTGTAGTTATTAATGTTCCCAAAGGCTTTTTGGATTTTTTTGAAAATATTCTTGAAAAAAGTGATTTATCAGATACTGATTGTGTATCAGTTTTCGAATGAGATCGAGTGCGTCGGCTAAAATGTTCCTTCGTTGATGATGATGATGATGATGATGATGATGAAGGTGTAGGACTGGCTAAACTAGATTTTCCAGATGAAAATCTTAATGAAGTAGTAGGCACAGCAGTATTTGCATATGGAGCAAGAGAAGCAACAACATGTCGTTGATTAGAGCCATCATTTGTTTCATTATGAGCAGCAGCAGCAGCAGCAGCACCACCACCACCAGGACCGGAAGTACTATTTGTTGTATGAGATACTCCTCCAACAGAATCAGTTACTACTAAATTCGTTTTTTTCTCATTTCCACTACTACGTGAAGAAATTACAGCTTGTAATCGAGTTCGTTTTGATGTTGAATCAGTATTTGTTTTATTCGACGATTGTGATCGATCTATATCGGTTTGATCAAAACTACCAGCAGTAGCATTAGCTTCATTCTAAATTATGTGTCTATGTGTGGTTACTTATTTTTTCATATGGAAATAAAACTAATCTATGTTTTTTATTATTTTCTATCTGTTTTTTATCTGAACTTACCATTTCTTGGGCTGTATCAAGTAATACTGATGTTCGTATCGAATGAGTATTTGTTGTTATAATTTCGTTAGTCTTTTTTCTTTTGGTAGAACGAGGATAAAGGAATATATTACTTATGTTTATTCGATAGAAACACTGTATTGCTACTGCCTCGTGCTTTTTTTCTTTCTTTGGGAGAGAAAAAAAAACGCTATGTATGTAGTTTTGGCTTTTGCGACAAGAAAAAAAAGAGAAAGAATATTATGCAATTATGTTTATTTCTTTTTTTTCTCGTCTATAAGACTCGCTTAAATATACAGAGTGCGTAATTTGCTATTCTTTATTTCGATACTTTCAAACGAAAATATCAAGTCATAACCGAAAGGTACATACCTTATTCTTTTGTGATTTAGTCATTGTAAATTTTCAATAAAATGTCATTGACAGAGACTTTTGTTTTTTTTTTCTTGGTTTTTTCCCTCGAATAACATCGTCTATAGCACATGGAAGAAAATAGTATACCCTATAGGGAGAAAACCGGATGCGCTTTTTTTTCCTTTTTCGCCTTTAATACTTCTGCATTTATCGATGGGCGTCTTGTTTTTCTGTCGTGTATATAGGCGACGACAAAAAAACATTTTCTTTTTCTTTTTCAGATCCAGACTACTAGGTTCCGAATGTAATTATTACGAGAAATAAGGAAAGACAATGAAGAAAAAAAACAACTCACTCGAGTAACACGCATCGTATCTAAATGTTGAATAGCATACGGATCAAATAAGATATTCTATCAAAAAAAGAAACAAATACTAATGACGATCAATCTATGTTACTTTCAAGTTTGGTATTGATGAAAAAAAAATAACTGATGTTATTTATTTTACCGATGGGATGTTATATAGAAATAAAAGAAAGAAAGATTAGATTTTGTAGAAAAAATCGATCATGCGGAAAATAAAAGAGAAAAAAAATCAAGAAACATGATTCATATAATGAGAATACTACGAGAGTCACTATTGAGTTGTCATGCTAATGATGCTAAAAAAATCCATTATAATTACCAACTGATTTCAAATACAATATGACGTCAAGAAGTCGGTACAAAAAAACAAACTGAACTAATTAATATTTTCTTTTGTATTTCGCCTACATTATTCACATCACGCGCATAGATGAAAGAAAATAAGAGTGTCATTTATTATAAACTAGAATAAATTAAAGCAAGCAAGCATTGAAATATATTTCATAAGAAAAAAGAACCTATGGAATGATTCAATCGAAATTGAATCAAAATTATTATGTTTATTCTAAGCTTAGCATAAAAATAATATCTTTTGTTTTTTAATGAATCTAATTATTCAAGTATTTCCTATTAAGAAACGTTTTGATTATAAATGTTTATTCAAGAGAAAAGAAGAAATAACATGAGATTCAATTTTACAATCTAATTTATTCATAAAGAATTGAAATAATTGTTTTTCTTTCAAAATAAAATTAATTCATTGCTTTGTTTTTGATTTATAGCTTATACCTGGGAAACTATCAAGAGCAGCATCTATTAAATTAAAATGTTTTAGAAAGTAAAATATTATTCTATAACTCGCCTGGCCGTTTCAATTTCTATTCGTTCAGTTTAATATATTATCTATATTATAAGATTGCATGTCATTAATAAAAATTACATAGGATGCAGAAATACTCGGAAATAGAAGAAAAAAATTGCTTGGATTTATAAATTGTGAGAAACAAATAAAACAATTTTATATAAAATCAGTGAAGTGAAAATCAAACTAGCAACAAAATAAATGATATAGTAAGGTTTCGATTAAAAAAATATTGAATATGTGGCTTCATATGATATGTTAAGTTTTATTTTGACCAAAAAGTGATGTTCTTATTTTAAACTTTGTAATATAATACAAAATAAATCAAAGGTAATCACCGCTCCCTCCCCTTATGTTTTCTTATGAAAACAATTCCGAATAAATAAAGAAAAGAATACGTTTCAACTTTTTTCTTCATTAAGAAATCTAAATCATTGTAAAAATGGATTAAACTTATATTTAGTAATTAACAAGTCGTTCGTTAATGCACCTTAAAAATATAACGACGTTATTTTATCATATAATCAGATCGATATGTACGGTTTTCTGTAGTCTTTTCTTGCATTCATGATAAACTTAAAAAAGTGTGCCCATATTGATCAAGTGACTGTAATCACAATTATATTGAATGACGTCATTTAGTGAAAATGAAAGAATTAAGTATTTGTCAATAGTTAAATTACAAAATCTTTCATAAAACTCTTAAATGTACTTAAAATAAATACAGAATTAAAAAAAACGATTCATGACACAACATACGTACACAATCAGCTTCACATGCCTTGACTTTTTGATTTATATACTTTTTTTGATGTTTTATGTATTTTTCTACTTAAGTGGGCAATTGATAAAAAGAAAGCGAGCAAGCAAGTAAGCAATAGAATTTCGAAAAGAAAATCTCATAAAGTGAAAATCATTTTTTTTTTTATATTAATTTCTGAGTTTACCTCATATATTGTTTCAAGATCTTGTTTTTCAGGTGTCGAAAATAGACGAGGTCGACCATTTACTGGAAAATTAAATGTATTTAATACTGGAGAGAAAGTAAAACGTTTATCACATGTCATTGATAAAAACAAATTGCACCGATCTTGATCGAATAAGAAAAACTGATTGATTTTGAAAACAATTAGGTAGTTCACAGAGCTACAAACATGTGCACAGAAACCCACGTCGATTGTGTGCGTTTTATACTGTAGTACTTACACCTTATTCTTCTTTTTCTCTCGTTTTTCACGCCCAACAACTACTTCTCTCAGTCACTTAATAAAACGAGAAACTTTGCCTGCTGACGTCGTTGTCATCGCAGCTATCGTTCTATTTGTTTTTATCTCAAAAAAACGAAGAACAAGAGCAAGAACAAGAAGAAAAAATTATGTGAGGTGGTAACAACAGCACTAGTCAAAATACTAATGCTGTCGTATAGTTTTCACATGTACAATGTACCCACTTTTTTTTCGACGCCATAACCTATAATATCTATCGATTTATTTACATCAACTACTTGTTTTTTTGGATAAGTTTTCTTTTCATTCTTTTTTTGTCTCTTACGCCTCGTCATTTTATCGTCGTCAGCAATATTGATTACAATCTATAACAATACTGCACCGGAAACAACAAAAAAGAATTAGATATTGATGCAATGGCAATATTTGATAAGAAACGATTTAACATGCATCCATAATAGAATCAAATAGTTTGAAAAAGACTTTGTCACATATGTAAAAGAAAGAAAACAAAAGTGCACACATCTTTGACTTCGATATAATACCTCTTTTTACTCTTTTCTGCGCGCATCCACAGATATCTAGGGGTTTTGCGCAGCTGGTGTTATTTTTATTTTGCCTTTCTTTTTTCTTGTGATTGTCACTAGTCATTACCTGGGTGCTTAATGACTTTTTCTCATAACTTAACTGCTAACACTTTTGATAACGTGCAAAAATAGCAGCAAAACAAACATTAACATCTATATTTATACACAAATCTGTGTACTTACTTCATCAATAGTATCAAGTTCGGCATTATTGTCCAGTTTATCTGAATATTTTTTTTCAGGTACACTAACACGTCGTGTTCGTCGATTGGAATGAAGAATACTATTAGAATCGTCGCTATTGTTTTTAAAATTGAGAAACTTTCGTGTAGGTGAAGTAAATACCGATTTGATCTGTTGTCCTATGCTATCATGTTCTAGTGTATGACGACGCATAACAATGATGATTGTAATTGATGTTGTTTTATCTTAGTTGTTTGAAAGTTCGTTTAACTAATTTATTTGTAAAACATAAAAGAAAAAGATAAAAAAAAGTATATTTAATGAAAGAAAAAATTTTATTCAAGATACGAATGAGAAAAAACAGAATGTAATTATAAAATGAACTTCTCGAAAGAATAGAAATAGAAGTTAGAAGATCGACTTATTATTCATGTAAAAGAAAAAAATAATAATAAATGGATTAGAGACAAAGCTGCTTCTTTAAGTAATGCAGGTGTCGTAGATGAATACCATTGTCTTTATCTGATTTTTTCGTTCGGTTCTCCTACTGAGCATGTATGCATGTGTATAATGTTCTTTATTTATGAAAATAACAATCTGTAAGAAAGAAAAGCAACCAGAAGAAGAAAGGCGAAATTTTGTCGTCGCCTTTTTTCTTCTTTATTTAACATTTCATTCTCCAAAAAACAACAATAATAACGTCATAATCTCTTTATATAGTCACCAGTAAGATGATTGTGATTGGTATTTTCAGTGCATAGTCCAAAAATGACGTAGTTTCATAAAAATAATATGCATAAGTCGATGACATGTCTAAAAACGGAAACAATGAATTACTAGTACATCATAATTTGTCAATATGCAATTAGACCATCAAATAGAGAAGAAAGAATTTATGTCATAGAATCTGTTTACCATAATATTAGCAAGCGAAGCAGAAAACTATTCTATAATTTACATAGATGATAACGTATTTTAAGGATCCGTATGATAAAACAAAGCTTGAAATAAGTTTACTTATTCTAAAGTTTGCTGAAATTCAATTAAAACTTTACATTGAGTACTGTTCTATGTTTAGCTAATGATGATGTCATTTTAAGAAATAAAAAAAAGTTTTTTTTAGAAGTAAATATGTTGTGTTAACGCAGCATTGATCAAATAAAAAGCAGAACAAATGAATAAATATTAATCATCAAGGTATTTTTTTATTTTGAAAAAAAAAAGTACTCTAATGCCACGTAACCATTCATATAAATCACAAACTCGGATTCTATACGAAAAAACTATAAAGTTATGTAACCACACCGAAAGCAAATGAGAATGGCAAATATAATTCGAAGATAGCTAGTTAATTTAATTCAAGCGGTATTTATTTCTTGTCTAGTGATTAATTATTTATCTATGTACGTGACAACATCTGTTATCACATTACGTTCAAGTAGCATTTTCTGCTTTCTAGTTAATATTCTCTAGCTTATGAGTCATTTCCAAAATATGAAATCCCACATATTCCGTTGATATAGATTATCACAATTCAACAAATATGACTATTAGGAGCCATCCATGAAGGACGTTCAGGTAAATATTTGAGTATCAAAAAGGATTCTCTATCAAGATTGGTGAACCTGAAAACTCCTGCAAAAGTGTTTGAATGAGGATATCTGGAAAATCAAGATCCCTCAAACTGATTTTCTGGTATCCATTTGAAACTTTGTTGATATGGTTCTATTTAATACAACAAAATGGGATGTCTTGACTTTCTTCGTGATCTTCCTTCATTGAACTACATTCAATTTATAGAAGGTTCCGAAACATGGCCAAATCATTGAAACTTTTTATCAAAACAAAACATAAATGCTTCTTTAGTCTTTTGCAAATTAAATGTAGTTCGATGAAGGAAGGTCATGGAGAGAGACGAGATATCTCATTTTGCTCTATCAAAGAAAACCACTTCGGAAAAGCTTCAAATAGATATCAGAGAACTGATTTTGAGATCTTTGCTTTCCAGATATTCTCATCCAAATAGCTTTTATTAGAGTTTTTTAATTCACAAGTTTTGATATTGATCCTTTTTAACTACTCATATGTTTTTTTTTCAGATTCATCCTAGCTATTACTATCGAGGAAAAACTTCAAAAATACAACCGTTTGAAATTTCTGTCCATCACTATACATAGTATATTAATGAGCAGAAAATAGTAAAACAAAAAGTGAAGTTCAATACGAACAGCGTTCAAAAACCTCCCATAACTACTCCACAAATAGCTATCTGCTCGTATAGAATAATCTTTAATTATTTTAAGATCATACTCATATTCAGCTACTTCATTCAGTTCATTTTCTATTTAAAAGTTCTCTTCAAAACTTCGCGAAAAATTGTGTGAAAATAAGGGAAATGTTCATAGTAAGTCATGTTGGAATTTATATTTGTTAACATGAAAAGCCTTAAGTCGCTTTTTGATGAATAAATCCAGTACAAAGTGTCTTTTTCTGAACGAAAAGTGAGAATCATTGTAATTCGGCTCTTCTAAGGTCATATGTCATAGGATTTGAAATTTGAATATTCTTCCTGTTTGATGATTCATTTATATCACTGACGAGGGAACCACCCGAGGTGTCAAAAAGCTTTTCAGTCGGGGATATGATGGTTAGATAGGGCATAGCTAGGAGTGATATACCCTAAGTTAGTTCGTGCCCAAGTTGCTTCTAGCAGGAGTTATGAAATGTGAAATTTAGGTATAAAAATGANTGTGGATGTGGTTACACCCATACCCTCTCTCAGTGATATAAACTAATCATCAAACAGGAAGAATAATCAAATTACAAATCGTATAACATATGACGTTAGAAGAGCCGAATTATAATGATTCTCACTTTTCGTTCAGAAAAAGACACTTTACTGAATTTATTCGTCAAAAAGTGACTTAAAGCTTTTCAAATCAACGAATATAAATCCCAACATGGATTATCAAATTTTTCGAATAGAAGTTTTTTAATGAGGAAACACTAATCTGAAAGTAATAGTATTATTTGATGGAAGTTGACTAACGTGAAAGAACCTTTTCAGGTGTTCGTCACTCTCAGATTTCAATGAATTTTTGTTTATAGATACTACATAGTGCCATGATAAGATCTTTAAAAGAATTTGTATTCTTATGGCGTCCTTCAAAAGTTATAAACATTTTAGTTTTGTCCTCGTAGAACAGAATATAGAATATTTTGTCCTACGGGGGCAAAACTAAAATATTCATAACTTTTGAAGGAAACAATAGGAACTGAAATCCTTTTACAGTTTTTACTATGCAGTATCTATGAACAAAAACTCATTGAAACCTGAGAGGTGGGATATCTGAAAAGGTTTCCTCGCCAATAGATAATCGTGTTTTGAAATTAGCGACAAATTCAAATCTAAAGATTAAATAAATCATAAAACACCATTATTTGATTAATAAAAGTTTTACTCTCAACATCTCATGTTACATTTTATGAACAAGTACCCAAAAACGAATATAAGGATTATATATAATCCTAAATATTCGAGAATATGACTGTGTTCGTCGTATTATTGATTTCGAAATAACGACCATATTTCATTGTGTTATATACAACATCATTAATCATTGATGTCACGCAAACTTCTTCAGAATGAGATGAAGGACAGGTTTCTATCTGCATTCATCTTTTCTCTTATCGTTCCTTGAATATAACAAATATGATTCTTTCTTTTTTAAATAAATACTTACCTTTGAATTTAATAACATAAAAACTATGCTTGATAAAGCACGGCTATATATGATTGTATATACATGAGCCCTATTAGAACACATGCCGTCATGTTCATTCATCGAAGACATTCGTGGCACATAACGAGCGTTTTTCGATCTGAAATTGTTTTGTACAGCTGTTTATGACTGTGCCTTGTCAATCTAGGGCAGTACATCTGTCAATTTACAAATGAATTCAAAAACAAAAGTTGTAATCTATGTCACAATGATAAAAACAAGATGTTTTTTTTCCGCTCAGAATCATTAGATAAAACAAAGAAAGTGTCAAAGATAATTCATTACAGTATGAAAACATGTCTTGAGAAAGTTTAGCTCTCTGCAATGTGTTGAAAATCTTCAGAACGCATTTTCATGTATCCAATTACATACTGAAAGAGTTTGACAATAGAAGATTTTATAAATTGCTCGACAACAAACAAAAATTACTCGAACTTATGTGCCATGAAGAACTTTTAATCTGTCTCTTGCATAAATCGATTAAGAGGTGAATCTTCTTCAATATACTAAAGAAATGCGTAAATTTTCAAGCGTTAAACAAGTACGAACAATTTCGTTGTGCATGACATTGAAAACTAAAGAGTGTAATAAACTTCTTTTATCATGTTAACAACAGATTTTATAAATCCGATTGAGATATTTACTTCTGAGATTACATTAATCATGTAATCGTTTTTTTTTCTGTGTTTGAAAACGCCTTCTGAAGATTATTCCAAACTGTTATATTGAAAATGTCATTTATCCAATAACTAAAATAACTATTCGTATCATATTTTCATGAAGACAAAGTTATAACTAAAACTGTTTGTTGTATCGACATTTATTTATATTATTCAGATGTAAATATAGATATATATATCTAATTTGAAGAACTAATTACAGATAGCTTGTAACATAACAATTAATAAAAAATCGCTGATAGTATTAAGAGAAAAAGAAAGAAACAAAAAAAGGAATGTATGAGTTATAGAGATTAGACATAAGACAAAACAATCAGACGGAATGTAGATTTTTATTTATTTGTTTTTTGATAATGAGACAAATTTTAACGTTGCTTATTTGTTAAAATTCGTACCAGATCTTCACAATTACATCTATATGAATAAAACAAAAAGAAACTTTATGATTAAAATGAAAATTTCAAATAAATTCTTTTACCGTCCATCGGCATCAATATCAGCCTCACGTGTTAATTCATCAACTTCTTCTTCGGTAAGTCTTTCACCTAACGTAATCATAGCATTTTTAAGTTCAGCAACACTTACATAACCAGTTCCATCTTTATCGAAGACACGAAATGCTTCACGTATATCATCTTCTGTTTCACGATTGTTTGATTTAAAATTTTGTGCAACTCGAACAAATGTATCAAAATCTATTTTTCGACCAACTTGTTGTTGAATTTTTTGTAAATCAGCTTCTGATGGTGAT